ATCACCTGTACATGAAATGCGGATCAGGTTGTGATCGAACATTCCCAGATGTGATGATGACTATCGTATTTGGATGGGGCAAAAACGAACATGCAGCAGGACTTCCGGAAGATCGAGATGAACAGTATGGATGATGAACAACTGGAATTCATGCGGAACCATCCAGACAAGGCCATTTTCGATTACCAGGTCTCATCCGCAGAGCGCTGCAAGCACACAACGAAATGTTCATGAACGGCTCGCAGGACTCCGACTCCCACAGTCCTCTCATGGTTTACCCGCAGCAAATCTGCAACCAGTAAACGCAGCTCTGAGAGATACCAGGATTACGTCAAGAAGAGACAATCCTGGACCACGCAGGAGTACAAGGACTACAACAAGCAGTGGGGATATCAGAAGCAGTGGAAGGACTATAGCAGTTCGAGCTGGAATGATTATGGAGACCATGGCAGTCAATCCGACAGCAGCCGCCGATGGTATCGTCGATCCGACTGACCATGAAGATACGTCCAGCACCACGAGCAATCCAAATGATTGATCCTCCTCGTCTACAAGACTATGCCATGAGTGAGTGATCAATAGTTTCACAATTGTTCCGCGTGTACATAGCGTTGTGCATCACCCTTTGATACAATTAGGTATCCAAAAAGAAGCGTACATAGTGTTTCCCATTTCGAAGGCCAAGACATTTCATCCAGCAGAAAAAGGATGAATCCGGCACTTTTAATTGCATGGCTACGGCACACATTAAGGCTACGGTCAAAGGATGAAGCCAATAGTATTTCATACGTGAGGACAAAAGAGCCATTGCAGGCCGCTTACAGGATTATCCAGAACACAATCCACCAGGGACAATCCATCCTCCAATCATCCGTTACTGGCATATTGGACTCTCTCCACAATTGATCCAGGGACCAACAACGACCTCAACTACCACCGGGTTCCAGTTCCCTTCGGGGATAGGCGCCTGGGGCAGTGGGCCTCACCCCCCCCCGTTCCCTGTTGGCCTTTTTTCCCCCAGATGTTCCCCCTTTCCTCCAAAAATCTTGTCCACCCCTTTCCCTGTAGAGATCATTTCTCCCCTGTGCCCCCTAAGGCCTTTGCCCCAGATCTTCTCCTTTTCCTCCCTAAGATCTTCTGCCACCTTTCCCTGTTGAGATCCTTTCCCCCCTTTCCCCCAAATGCCTTTTTTCCCCCCCACAATCTTCCCCCTTTTCCTTCCTAAGATCTTTTCCCCCCTTTTCTTGTTGAGACCCTTTCTCCCCCTTTCCCCCCTAAGGCCTTTCCCCCCAAGATCTTCTCCCTTTTCCTCCTAGATGTTTTTCCCCCCATTCCCTGTTGAGATCCTTTCCCCCCTTTCCCCCCTAAGACCTTTTCCCCCCTGAGATCTTCTCCATTTTCCTCCCTAAGCTTTCTTTATTGAGATCCTTTCTAGGGGGGAAAGGGTGTGAAGGATCTCAACAGGGAAAGGGGGAAAAGATCTTAGGGGGGAAAAGGGAGAAGAACTCAGGGTGGGAAAAAGCCTTAGGGGGGACAGGGAGGAAAGGATCTCAATAAAGAAATGTGGGAAAAGATCTTAGGGAGGAAAAGGGAGAAGATCTCAGGGGGGGAAAGGCCTTAGGGGGGAAAGGGGGGAAAGGATCTCAACAGGGGGGAGGAAAAGGGAGATGATCTCGGGGGGGGGGGGGGGAGAAGACCTTACAGGGATCTCAGGGGTGGAAAAGGCCTTAAGATCTCAGGGGGGGAAAGGCTTTGGGGGAAAGGGGGAAAGGATCTCAACAGCAAAGGATCTTCGGGAGGAAAAGGGAGAACTGAAAAGGCCTTAGGGGGGAAAGGGGGAGAAAGGATCTCAACAGGGACAGGGAGAAAAGATCCTTGGGAGGAAAAGGGAGAAGATCTCGGGGGGAAATGGGGAAAGGATCTCAACTGAAGGAAAAGATCTTGGGGAGGAAAAGGGAGGATCTCAGGGGGGGAAAGGCCTTAGGGGGGAAAGGGGGGAACGGATCTCAACAGGGAAAGGGGGGGAAAACATCTTAGGGAGGAAAAGGGAGAAGATCTTGGGGGGAAAAGGCATTAGAGGGAAAGGGGGGAAAGGATCTCAACAAGAAAAGGGGGGAAGAGATCTTAGGAAGGAAAAGGGGGAAGATCGCGGGGGAAAAAAAGCCTTAGGGGGAAAGGGGGGAAAGGATCTCAACAGGGAAAGGTTGCAAAAGATCTTAGGGAGGAAAAAGGAGAAGATCTCAGGGGGGGAAAGGCCTTAGGGGGAAAAGGGGGGAAAGGACCTCAGCAGAAAGAGGGGGGGAAAGATCTTATGGAGGAAAGGGAGAAGATCTGGGGGCAAAGGCCTTAGGGGGCACAGGGGGGAAATGATCTCTACAGGGAAAGTGGAAAAGATCTTAGGGAGGAAATGGAGAAGATCTGGTGGAAAAAGGCCAACAGGGAAAGGTGGCCAAAGATCTTAGGGAGGAACAGGGGGGAAAGGGTGGCAAGGATACAGGGAAAGGGGGGAAACAATCTTAGGAAGGAAAAGGGAGAAGACCTGGAAAGGCCTTAGGGGAAAAGGGGGGAAAGGATCTCAACAGGGAAAGGGGGCAAAGGATCTTAGGGAGGAATAGGGAGAGGATCTCAGCGGGGGGAAAGGCCTTAGGGGAAAGGGGGGGAAAGGATCTCAACAAGGAAAGGGGAGGAAAGATCTCAGGGAGGAAAGGGAAAAGATCTTAGGGGTGGAAAAGGCCTTAGGGGGGAAAGTTGGGGAAAGGGAGGAAAAGGGACAGGGGGAAAAGGCCTTAGGGGGGAAAGGGGGAAAGGATCTCAACAGGGAGAGGGGGCAAAGGATCTTAGGGAGGAATAGGGAAAAATCTCAGAGGGGGAAAGGGCCTTAGGGGGGAAAGGGTGAATGGATCTCAACAGGGAAAGAGGAATTTGACAAATTTAGCGAATTTGCTTCAACGACTTCAAGGAAGGATCTAAGGACTTTTGAAATGTCACACTTGGAACTGTCTCGGGGTTGGCTTCGAGCCAGCGATGTGTCGCATTAGGTGGGAGATGCAAGGTTCCAAGTCAAACGTGATGCGAAGCCGCCTGTCTGTGTGTCGGCGCTTGTGTGCAATGCCGATTCAATCTTGCAACGCAAACGCATCTTTGCTCATGCTCGTTGCAGAAATTAAGTCAAGTGAGACGCATGCAGGTTGCAGCGCTCTGATGGATGAAGCACTGAGTGGAAAAGCATCGGCCCTCCCCACCCTTCCTGGTCGCAGCAAACAAATGCTTCCGTCTTCAAGGTTCGGCAGAAGCCGTTCGCAGCATGCGCCGTGGGGTGAAGGCCGGAACACTTCGCCAACCCCTTCGCCAGTAAGGCTCCAAGTCCATGTCCGAAACTGCCCGGCTTGCAGCATCAATGATGTTGGAAGCAGACTGAACGTATTCGCAAAATACGAAGCAGCACAGGTGCGTCGCCAACGCCCAAGTAAGGGCTGTGACTTGTTCAGGACTGCTTTGTTAGACCAACGCCCGATCATGCTGCCCAAAGCCGACAGAAAGCAAGTGGCAGGACCAACCGCCTCGATCCTGTGTGTGTTCTGTTGGCTTGCCCACCTGTCCAGAAGCGGGCTAAAAAACTTTGGCGCAACAAAACTCGTGAAACAGCTATGCTTCCTGCGCCCTCACCGTCGGAATACGCTACCGAGAATCTGGCGGCTGGAGACCTGGGAACCCCGCGCGGAAGCAAGTGAGACAATCGCACCACGCGCCACGGGGCATGCTGGCAGCTTTGCAATAACGAGGCCCGGCAGCCGCCCAAGCATCAACTCAGCTGCAGCGTCAGCCTTTGCCCACGCTAAGGCAAGCTGAGTAGTTGCCTGGAAGGAAAGGACCCTGGTCGCAGCAAAATCCTGCAACCGCGAGAAGAGCTCCACTGTCAATCTTCTCACGATCAGCAGCCTGGAGACCTCGCCTGCAGGCGCCACCCCGCCAAATGCTCAGACAAGTCGGGGGCTACGAGGTTGAGAAGCACAGTCCTGATTTTCCATACGAATCAATTCAGCAGCGCCGCAGTCAAGCAGATCAGGAAGCCACTGCCAGACTAGAAAGGCCCATGCCAAGGGAAGAGGGAAAAAATAATCAAGGAGCTGGGCCACACGCTGCAGAGCGGTGGCGCCAGCCTGTCCCCCTAATCCAGCCAACCAAGCCTGCCCACTCGAATCAGGGGCTTGCGGTTCATCCCTAGTTGAGCAGCGAACCGGAGTTGTTCATTTGATGGTCTTGGCTGCTGCATTGTGCCCCACCTTGGTGGTGCTCCATGTTCGTTGCTACTTGATTCTTGCCGCAAACGTTGACTCTTCGTTGCGACGTTGCATTGCCGCTAGCTATCGAGCAGTGACTGAGCTTCTGCACCCTGGGAGTCAATGATGATACGTAGGTTGATGTTACGTCGTTGCCCACACATGTTGACCTAACTGCACTAACCACTGCGCCGTCGAAACGTCTACGAAGCCAAGGCGAACTCACCAATAGAACGCATCTCTAGCAAAAACAAAGTTACTCAATTAGTAAGGAAATGTTGTAGAGCAATGCGTACTGGTAAAGTTAAAGAAATGGAGGTCTCTAAAGCAACGGTAACAGCCGTAGTTCTTGCGAGCTTCCAGCCTGCTATCAAACGCTCTGCACTGTCAGCACCACCACCAACTCCAAGTGCACTATTCGTGGCAAGCACTAGCACACCCGCCTGTCACTTCAATACCCCACCCCGTCACCCCATACATCAATCATTGCAACTACCACCATCATCTCCATCAATGTGCCAAGATGGCAAGAACCTTTGTCATCCCGACCTCGCAACCTAGCCAACATGAGCTTGTGACACCTGACAAGCCTCTCAACCCTGCTTTCCTCGTCGGAATCCTTCAGAAAGTTCGCTTTGCGAAAGAGACATGAGACGATATGAGACGATATGAGACGTCTGGGATGCCTGGTCTTCGGGGCTTCGGTTCTGAGGCTGGTGCGGAGAAAGTGCCACGCTCGATTTCGCGAAGCTTCAGCTGCACGGCGCCTGCGCTCTCACGTCCCAACTCGACTGCGGGCTCGTCGACTCGTGCCACTCCGTGCCACTCCGTGCCACTCCGTGCCACTCCGTGCCACTCCGTGCCTTTGGGATGCCTCGCTGCTCGCATCACGTCATTCAAGGTCCTCATGTCTTCCTGACGGCTGGGCTCATGGCAGGCCGACGCTCGCGTCTCGCGTCGCTCACATCGACACCTTGAAGGTGGCGCGAGATCGCATGGCGTTGATCAAGCGGTTGCGTACGGCGTCATCCAGCTTGAAGCGGGTGCAGGTTGCGTCGACCTCCGCAGGCAGGCTCTGATAGCCTTTCGGGAATGCAACATGCAACCCTGCCTCTTCCATCATCCAGCTTTCTGCTAAGGGCGGCGCGCCTAAACTTTAAAAACTGAAGGCGGCCTTCGCACCAACTGAGTCACTGTCCAGGCCGTGCACGCTCTGTGCGCTCAGTGCGCTCTTTGACACCTACGATTCACTTTCACTCGCGGAAGTAATCCAATTCTCTCCGAAATTCTCTCCGAAACTCTCTCCGAAACTCTCTCCTGTTCTCTGTTCCGTTTCGCCCTCGGCCTGGAGCTTGACTTTCACCTCGCTTTGGACTGAACTGCCGACTTGTTGACTCTCGTTGACTCCCGTTGACTCTCGTTGACTCTCGGTTTGAGCCTTCCTTGGCTTCGGGCTTCGCCTTCTCGGGAGACGGAGAGGCATCCCTCCAACGCAAATCAGTCAGATCAGTCGCAGGATTTCAAATCCCGTCCTGGCGCCATCTCCTTTCCTGGCACTGCGCAATATGAGACGTGTCAGTTTAGCGGTGTCCCCGGGGTCCCCGCTTCCCAGTCAGCAAGTATCGGAAATCTTCATCTGTACCTGCCAGACTCCGATCATTGGCTTACAGTTGAACATGAGACGATATGAGCAGAAAACAATTAGGGCGTGGGCTCTTCTCACTCACTTCCCCGAAGACAACCAGCAAGTAGCCAGATCGACACACCGGCGGAACCTGTGCTTGGCTCGTATTCGAAGCGCTCACTGACACAGTTCGCTCAGCTACAAGCTGCAGCTTGTGCCAACTCCCGGTCAAGGCGCTCCAATTCCTCCTGGCCGACCGATCCATCGGATCCATGCCGCGCCGCTCTCGCTGTTTGCCAGGCCTTGAGAGGAGGTGCGCCAGTCCGCTTCAGGTATGTCACCTGGCTGTGAGACGGGGTGTTCACATTTCACAATTCAGGCCACCAGCTTGGGCTCAAATCGCTTCTCCAAATCCCAACCTGAGATCTGAACTGGCCAAACTTGCAAAGCGTTGGATGAGAGTCTGGCGATCCATGAAGCTTTGGACCTCTTTGAGGAATGGATCATGCGACGAAGATGTTGACCTCACGCAACATCGATGGATAGCATCTGATACCTTAGGCTACCAAAACCTGGGAAAAGCCGGTCAGAACCAAAAAAATGTGTTTTTTTCGCTTTCTGCCACAACACCTGATTCTGGCAAGGAAAAAAGGGCTTTCGAACTTGGACCCGTAACAAACCCGCAAAAACAAGTTAAAAACACCGTATTGTTCCGTACAAACACCGTACAAACCCATACACACGACAATCTTGCAAAATGTTTTTTTTCATAAACTGACTCTTTCTCTTCTTGGTGTTTAGCTCATCTAGGCGCGAACTGCCTCTAAGGCTGCTGCGGCGTAGGTGCGCCTGGCAAATGTGCGATCCGTGCCGTGCCATCCGTGCCATCCGTGCGAGACGTGTCCAATGCGATATCCAATTCTGTCCAATGCCTTGCGGGGCCGCCGGGGGCCTCAGGAAACTCGGGATCCGATCGCAGTTTCGGCATTGGCGTCACTTTGAGCGTTCCGATCGGATCCGATCGCTGAACCATCGCTTCCACAATTCACACGACTCCATGACTCCTTCACATTCCTTCAGATTCATTCAGATTCCTTCACTCCTTGACTCCTGAATTCTCGTACTGGCAAACTCGGGCACCAGCCCTTTGCCTAGCGCGATAAGAAGTTTGTCCCTTCACTTCCGGCTGCGTGCCTTCCGTGCCTGGTCGGATCAAACTGGGCAGGACCTCGGATTTGCTCTGAACATCTCCGAACCTTTCTCGCACACTTCGACGATGTCTTCCGCTTTCGCTTCTTCTCTCTCTCTCTCTCTCTCTTTTTCATTTCAAAATTTCTTGGCAGTTTTCTGTTCTATGTCTTTTCATGTCTTATTCATTCTCTCCTTTTCTTTTCTTCTTTCTCTTTCTTGTTTCTATGTCTTTCACGGTCTAAGGCCCCGGCACCCTTGGCCGCCAGCAGCTGCAGGCCCTTCCCGATCCTAAGTTTCACATGGGGCGACTGGGACGTGAATCCGAGTCGGATTTTATTTTTCCTCGGTTTTTGTTCTCTGTTTTTCTCCGGATTTTCATTTCTTATTTTTTCAAATTCGGATTCGACCCAACTCTTCAACTCCTGTGCTCCCGCCCGTCTCACGGCCGTTTCCGTCTCGCGAATGTTCATCTTTCCTTTGCTCTTGTGTGCTACAAGTAGTGTTTGTGGGCACGAAACGCGCTTCTCTTTGAATTGGTATCATTCGGACACTGGTTGAAGATAGGTTTGCGCAAAGGTAAGTATGAAGGCATGATCAATGCATGTAAGAAGACATGCGTGGGCGTGTGCCGACTGGCCTTGAAGAGGAGTACCATTTACGAGCTTGTCAAACCTAGATTTTTGGAGCGACATGCAAGACTGCCAGCAATTTTATTCGGTTTTGGAAGCGCAACCCTTGAGACTACAAGGGGAAATGGCATTGGCAAACGCATCATGTTTTGTTCATGTTTTTGTTGAGCCTCGCTCATGAGTAGTGAGCAATGTTGACTTGATGAAGACCCCCTCGCTTAAGGACTGATCAATCTTGGCGCGCGCAAGAACCCTCGATTCAAGACAGCCTCTGAGACATGCTCATTGCTTGCGACTTCGATTTGCAACATTTGGACGTCCTCAGAGCTCTTCCCGTTTGAACTCTTTCCCTTGGGCATGGACAGCGCGCCCTTGCCCCCCGACAGCACGCTGGCCTCAGCACCAAGCAAAGCGGCGCCAAGTAAAGCCAAGCCTCTGCAATCTGCATCTCATTTGGCGCCTGGCCAAGTTTGGCCTTCAGTTCACATCTCACACTCTCACACTCTCACGACTTGCAAAAAGGGCTCCAACCCGCACGGAGTAGCACCTGGTATTTTCGGAATTTGACTCGCGCTCGCGCGTGCTCTGAGTGCCGTGCTGGGCAACGCTGGTGCCAAGAACCTAGATGCGAGCATCGATTGTGAGCGTCGAGTGCGAGTCATGAGTGTGCAGAAAACGCAACATGCCAAAAAAATGCCAAAGGATGCCAAAGGATGCCAAAGGATGCAACAAAAGGGTCGTTCGCTCGCTCGAAGGTTCCGTTCGAATCGAATCCGAGGTCGCAGCGGTGCCGCCTCGAACCGAGCCGAGCCGAGCCGACCTCCCGATGCCTCTCAGCTCAGAGCCATGTGTGAGCCATTGGCCTCACACGACCAAACATCTTGAGTCACGGAGTGGTCAGGGTCCACATGCCTCAAAACATCCCTTTTACAAAATAAGTCTACAGGTCTAGTTGCGTCCTAGTAAACCTTTGGCACACATTTAATGACAGACTTTGAGGAAACACAAAGGGCTCGGGGCGAAAGCTTGGGCCCCGACGCCCTTCTTTTGGCAAGCGGCCTGATGCGAACATCGAGCATTTTAAACCGCAGCACGTTCGGCTTTCGGCCTCGCACGCTTCAGCCTCCGCGTAGCTATTGTATTTGGTCCGGCAGTACTCGCAGGCGTAGGTCACGTCCTCCAGCTGTCCGCTCGCAAGGTCCCAAGAGCCATGCCGAGCCTCGAGACCGGACTCGCCTGAGAAAGAAAGATCCCAAGGCGAAGGAACAGACGAGAAAAGCGACATCGCGCAATATGCGCAATGGACTATTTGTTTCTATGCTCGTCTATGCTTCTGGCCTGCGCCTGGAGCACCTGGAGCACCTGGAGCACCTGGAGCACCTGGAGCACCTTGGGACTTACACGACAAGACTCGTTGGTTCAAGCCACGTGTCCTTGTAGCCAGCCATAGGCCCTCAGCGTGATGTAACATATGCATATGTAAATGTAACAATCAGGGTGTGGAACTTAGGGCGAAACTGCATGGCATGCCAAATCGCAGGCAATGCAAACCGCCGTTTGCAAATACAACTGTCTCGGGCTGGGTGTTGCTTGCTTTGCAGTGTGGCCTCTGGCGGCTGGAGGAAACACGTTTGATGCTGCAAGTACTGAGAAACGACAACATGAAGCACGGAATAACATCTCATCTGTCGCGAGCCATAAATCAGCGCCCTGTGAGCAGTCCATGCGTTCCTTTGAGCAAAAGGGCCCGCGCTGGACAACTGAGAAAGCAACACTACATCCCACATGTGCATATGCCCACGAAATTTTTGCACCAGACGTCGATGCTTGACACTAGAACTGGATTGCGCTCACGAGTGTCACCCCGCTCCTGAGACAGGCATCCTGTTCCAATTCCAATTTCGCAGTCACGTTTGTGACGTGAGCTTACGTGAGCCAAGCGACGCTTCTCGTAGTACGTGTTGAAGTCCAATCGGCACAGCAGAAAACTGAGGTCTGAAGATCGCTCTGGTTGCTCCTGCTTGGCATCTAACTCTCAGAGACTTGTCCACGAAAGAGAAGAGAGGTCAGACAAGTGAATGAGAGTAAAAGAGAGTGCCATCCCTTTGCCTCTTCTTTAATGCTTTTCCGGACACATTTAAAATCAGAAAAGGAAACGCAAAGAAGAGAAAAAGGGTCCTATCTGTTCCTATCCTTCTTTCATTTCTACAATGGGAACAGATGCAGCTCGCAAATTACTTACATGGAAAGGCGAGTTGAGGCGGGCTAATTCTCATGACCGAAGGGTTTGAATGTGTGATGTGGCCTGCCCTCTCTTTCATGGACACAGTGAATGATGGCGAGAACCTTAGCGAATGAACGAGGACATGTCCCCTCCCTTTCACCTCTGTATCTAGGATGTGATTAGGTGAGAAAGGGAGCCGTGTGTTTTCTTCGTTATCCTCATGCACTCGTCTCTCGTTCCTTTTCCCATCTATATCTCCCCCAAATTCTTGTATCTTGGTTATTGATGTGGAAAGGGAAAAGGAATCATCTCTTCATCTCGTGTTTTCCTTCGTCCATGATATCAGTCTTTAATGTTGGGACGAAGTACGAGATGAAGAGATGTCACCTACAGTTTACCCGCTGTGGCGTGCCTCTGAGAAACAAGTGGTGGGTGATAAAAGATGTATTCCTTCTCATATGCCTTCCCTAGATGTCGCCGGTAAGAGAATCCATTAGGCGAGAGATGAAGGCATGAGAAGAGAGGATGAGGCCGTCCTTTTCCTACGTTTGGACGGGTAATCAAGGGACGTACGAAGGACAAGACGAAAGCAGTGAGGAATGGACAAGAGGACGACCCGCCTCCACTTATTTCGTTCGTTGTCTCGCTCCTCTACCTCCTTCTCCCTTACCCGTTCCCTCATACCGTTCACTCACAAAATCCTTGAATGAGAGGTACAGGACAGAGGAAGGGTCTACCCGCTGTATCGACAATATGATGGAGGCTTACCAATTTCCAGGATTAACAGACGGGAGGCCTCCATCCAACACTCACCACTCATTTTTATTCTCATTCCACACCTATCTGTATCTGAGATTGAGTGGTGTGGAAGAGATGAAATGATATGAGTGAGTGGCCCATCTCTTCCTTGACGAAGGAAATGGGCGAGGAGTGAGTAGAGCTGGAAAGAGCAGAAGGTAGTGAATGACCCGCCCGCTCATATCCTTGTTTCACGGCTTTCATTCTCCCTTCATTGCCGCGACCAGATGATCATGGATGGTGGAGGTGGGTGGAAGAGAAAAGGATTAATTCGCTATCTCGTGGTCTTTCTCTTTCTGTTCCTTTCTCCCATTCATCTCTTCCTCTCGTTCCTTTCCTCACTCTATTCTCACCTCATAAACTCACGAAACAAGTCCTTTCTATTTCTGAGCCTTATGGGTTTTATTATTTTCTGGTTACTTCGTCTGGATTTTTAGTTGTTCAAAATGGTTTTGAAAAAGATACCAGACAAAGAGATAAAGAGAAAGAAAGAGAAAAGAGCGAAGCACCCAAACTCTCCAAATCCATTCCCTTCATATTTTTCTATTTTATTTTGAATGGATCCTATAGTCTATCACCTTAAGATCTCAACCTCTAGAAGAAAACAAAGTGAATGGGAAAGGGTGTGTGAACGAACGAAGCGAGTGGCATTTTTTTATCATCCACTTCTCATATCTTAAAAATCTAGACTTTCTTATCAGGCCTTGCCTGGCTTTCACTATTTCTTTTCTTCTTGTTGTTTTACTATTCTCTTTTAATATGTGGCTAGGGTCATCTTATTGTTTTTACTTTATGTGATTCGGGCACGAGCCTGTGCCCAGGCAATGGGGGGTAAACAAGCCACAAAAGAAAGGTTCCCCAAAAGCAAACCAATCCCCGGTCCCAAAGATCAGGGTTTCCCACACACCAGAGAACAACAACCAAAGGGAAACAAACCAAAATAGAAAAGGATACCCGCAACCTTAGTCGACGATGAACCGCACGGGCGATCCCCACCAACCTACCCCGGGCCGAAGTCTCTTTCTCCTCCGTCACGAAGGCGGTCGACGTGAGGGCCCGGCGACGCTCATCCGAGGCGCGCCGGATCCAAAACTTGAGTCGGTCACTACCGCGACGTCCCTGATGATGATATGAACCATGGCTAATCACACCCCCCTCACGAGGAGCCCGTCATATGACGGGTGGAGCGTGCCATTTACTGATAGGATTTAACTGCTCGCATGTGTCCGCAAACAGCTGGACACTACCGCCGTCAGCGGTGGAGCAAACCCACAAAGGCAGTTGCGCGACATCCCGGGCATTAAATTCCCGCCACCACCCCGAATTAATCGGGGTAACGCTGTCCAACACACCTTGTGAAAGAGTCCACATGACGGTACTAGGCCACAACTGTTTGCATCAACAATGCAAGAAGTTTAATTCTTATCAGAAGCCATGAAACAAAAGATAACGTATGACCATTAGTACCCTCGCCTATCGGCAGGAGGTACTCCTGACCACGCGTACCTAAAAATGCTTCCGCAAACCCGGGAGTACCCCCCCATCAGTTTGCCTTCCCTCTCACTCTGGGGTGTCATCAAAAAAGGCCTGGCTCAGGAGCTGCAGTTCTGACCGTCGGCCGGGCCGACTTTGCCTCCATGCGTTCCTGGTATCGATACTGTCAGGGCACCCACTTCAGGGACTGCCCGGGCTTCAGGCCCTTGTGCACTAGGCTAAGAAGGCGGATGGATGGCGTAGTGTCAGCGTCCAGCAGCTCACCCGGGTAATGCGATTTGATTTGGCTGAATGCATGGCGACCTGGAGTTGGCGCCGCTGAGCTCATGCTTAACCGATGGCACTCTGCTAGGGCTTTCCTAAGGCGCGCTGCTGCCACACTGGATTCTTGTTGGCTGTCCAGAAGTCCCTGGCAGAGACTATGAAAGGCTGCAATTCTGCTATGGTCGACCAGCAGCCGAGCAGCGGTATGGGAGAGACATGATCTCCGCGCCTCAGCGGTTCGGGAGGAACATCACCACCTCCGCACCGCGCCAACCATTGCAGAATGGACGCAAGCCTATCAGCCGCAATCCTCGTGACTCAGCCTATCCCGGGTCCTGGAAGGCCTGCGCAGTAGAGCACCACTCGCTATCAGCGGGGTGGCTCACCCGCATCCAGGCCGTTTTTCGCAATGCCCTGGCCCTGTGCCAAGCTTCGACAAAAAGATAGCCGACCTGTGTCTCACACAGCCACGTCTCCTCCGGTCACGTCCGCCCCGCGCACGGTCTCTATCACGATCCCTCTCGGATCTCCTGCGATCATCTCGCCTTCGATCTCGCTCCCGATCGAGTGAGTCATCATCACGACGATCACGAGTATCGTCCCTCCTCCGGTCACGATCTTCGTCACGCCGCGGACGGTATCTGCGCCTTCTCGACTCTCGGGAATCCCTAGTGTCCACGGTCCTAGCGGACCTCCGAGAAGGAGTGCGGGAAACGTCCGAGTCCCTACGTCTCCTCCCAGAGCGAGAGTTCGTCACGATCTGATTGAGAGCCTCCAGTGCTGAAGCGCCTTCACCATTTCTGATGAATTCCCTGACTTGCTTGTTCAGCACTCTATTGGTGGAAACCGACAGGAGGGCGTCCACCACCGAACTCTCAGGCAGCACCAGGCAGTGACCCTCCACCGGGCTCGCCGCAGCTCGCTCAGCCGACTGCAACCTGATCTCACCACCTTCAGGCCTCTTTGCCATTGCCTTGGAGGCCGTCAGAGGCGCTACCGCGTTCTTTGCCGAAGACCTACCAAGCGCGGAGTGAAGATCATCCGCACTAGCCTCTCTCGCTGCCGCACCTGGTCTGCTGCTATCAATGCATGACTAGCCAGGATGTCCACGTCCTTCCGGTGGGTCGGATACAAGGGAGTCAGATGACCCGCCGCAGCACCAATCACGTACGCCATCGGGATATAGAAGGACAAGTACGTGTCATGACGGGCGAACTTCCTAACGGAAGTCGTCATACGTCTACCCCACTGAGCCGCATGTATCGGATTCGCTCGGAAGTACTCAGTGACCGAATCAAATCTATCGACTTGATTGGTCTTGATGAGGTGCTTCGCCACCCACTTCTCCACAAACGCGTCCGAGGCCAAAATCCCTGACACATAGGAGAACTGAAAGAGCACCTTCGCCAGTTCATCCCACGCCGCATCGACTCCAACCTTGTCCTCACCAAGATAAGGGGGCAGCCTTATGCCGCTCTGCGCCGTCATCCTCAGGTCAGACGCCATCGATTAGGAAATCAAATTCCTCTTGATAACCCCGACCACTTCGGTTGGGATCCTCTTGGGCTTGAACTGTCTCATACTCTTCACCCAGTCCGGGATGATGCCGCACCTCTCGAAGTCATCTTCGTCCGCGTTGGGAATGAAGTTCGGGTAGAACACCGGGAGCGCACATTCGGGGCACAAATGCATCCCATTTGGCGTCATCTCCGCGCATCTCAAACAGAAGGTGGTGGTCACGTTCAACCTGACTTCCTCACGCGATCGCTTGTGCTCCCCCTTATCGGCTGTGAGGTCACCGTAGTCCCAGGCCCGATGGTACACTATCGTGTAATCATCGAACATGTACGCAGCCTTCCACGCACCCATGTGGATCTCGTTCCGAACGGCAAGGGTCTTCCTCCTCGTCAGAAACACAGGTCCAACCAACGACCAATGTACCCGAAGGTCCACTATGACCACCACGTACCTACCTGAGTAGTTCCGCAGCCTGCCCCTGACGTACCACGATGGCGACACCTCGGCGTTCGGCGTCATAGTTTCCACAATTGGAATCGTCCAACCTTCCATCCCCAATGGTCTCGTACATATCGGGCCTCGTGATCAATATCTCGATCAAGGCTTTTCCGTTCCGCCTCACCTTTTGGAGCTGGACTGCCTAGAACTTCATGATGACATACCCCGCCATAGAAAATTCATTCCAGTGCATCTCGTACATCAGAGACCTGCCAGGTGCA